CATCGTCTGGACCAGGTATCCAAATCCTTCTAATTGGTTCGCCATTTCTTGTTGTTGGACTTGTACAGGAGCTTCCATCCAGTTTTCGGCCATTTCAGTTCGAAAAGTGTTCGGGCGCCAATGTGGTGTCGCGTGGCCCCAACTTGCCCGCAGCAGTAGTAGTGACTACTATGAACTAGAAATTACACAAACTCTTAAGAAGGGTTTAACTCCCTTTTTATTCCACTTTAGAAGTTACAGATGCGTTCACTTGACGCTCACAAAGTACGCCGACCCGGCGGTTAAATAAAAATAGAAAAGTACAACTAAAAATAAATAACAGGATGACTAAATAACGAGGTCACTACCTACGAGGCTCTATAAACGTGACTAACTTAACCGCGTTCTAAGATACAGCTGAGATTTCAGCAAACTTTCAGAATAAGAAGTTGAAAGATTAAACTAACTGCCGAAGTAGGCACACAGGCCGAAACGCGCGGTTCATAAACTTCTACCAAGCAACCTTCACGCTCGTGAATTAAGAAAGCACACCTACAAACTCGTTTCTCTTCTATTTAACTCAAAATTACTTCTGTTAAAAATTTGAATACTCTGCGTGTTCTACTAAAATTTACATACTCTGGCATTGGCAATTCCAGGGGAAAGTAAAGGCTTGACAGGAAAGATAGCTTAAAATAAATGTTAGTTAAAATAAATATAAACCCTACAACATAATGCCGTTTGCTGAGCAGGCAAAAATTTTTGAAATAATTTATTTTGAGAATGATACTCAGCTTTTAAAATGGTTTGAATCATCTAAGTGCTATTGCTTGTGTTAAAACCATGTTTGACATATTCTTATCGCATAATTTTACATACTTACACCATGAATTCTGCAAATAGTGCAAAATATTAAAGCTGCCTACTTCCAATATGACACTACTTTACCTGCAGCCGTTTGGAAAAAATAAATGGGAATGTAATAAAATTACAGGATTTCTCGCATAAAGTGTAAGCTTGTGAAGCCTTCATGCAGCAGTAGAATGGTTTATTTGAGCTTCTGTGTTAGCCTAAAAGTCTAAATTATTACTTTTGGAGTTGCTTCGTGGTCTCTTCAGGCCGTCGAAGAGAGAAAATGGTTTTCAGCTGCAATTGCTGCTTTTAATTTCCTTTGACCACGCTGTCTATCCCTTAATTAATTCATTTCTTAAAACATAGATCAAGTTCTTGATATGATTCTTTGAGGGATATTCAAGTCTTGGTTGACAAAAGTTGCATTTCATCCACCTCGACTCTGCTAATTTATCGTTATTTTTTTCTTTAACTTTACTGATACCTTTGAATCGCAATTAATGAATACTGATCAGTCTTAGAAATCACATTGAATTCAAGCAATGTTCTAAACTCAAATTCCAACATGTATCCATCGCCAATGCACTGTCTATCGCCTGATGATATGTTTTATGTGATGACCTATGCGCAGAAACTTATTTTTGCATTCATTTGCAGATAATTAATATAAACATTTGCACCAATGTTTATAGGTAGAATACATAAACGAGCATATTTTTTCATACTATGTTTTAATTTTTATTAGCAGTGTAGATACGATTTTAAGTCTTCTTAAAGCTTTTTAGTCCAAAGGGTTGTTAGTCCAGAAAGGTTATTAGTCTCGAAACGGCATTTTGCGTCGACTCTTTAAAAGCGTTGAATAACTTTCCAAATTATTCCCGCGAAATATTATATTATCGGCCTGTATTAAAGAAATTAAATAATGAAGATTCTGCATGGATGTATGTATATTTCTCGCACTGTGAAAATCCAATTGTACCTAGAACCATCAAATTTTGCATAATCTAGTCCTCAACCCAAATATGGACACCTGGAAGACTGAATTTGGAATTTCAATTTTTTTTTCATTATCTATTTCCTATTTTGTAAAACTTTAATGTACTTTTGTTTAAAAAACTGAACGATTTCAAAGCGAGCTGTGGCAAAACTATACGGAATAAAACATTTTTATCTCCACAGCGAGAGACTATCTATCGAAAATTCTGAAGATATACGGTTTTTAAACACTTTTAGCCCAAAGGTTGTTAGCTCAAATGCTCTCGAAACGGCTTGCGTAGGTGTGTGTAAATGAAAAAATAACCTTTAGGCGTAATATAAAATCTGACAGCTTTCAGAATTTCTTATCTGCTTCTTCTTTTCTTTCTTTCTATTCTCTCTTTTTCAGCTAACATAACTACAATGTGTAACTGAAGAAAAGAAAAGAAAGGTAGTCAAGCAAATCTGAAAATGAAAAATTATTCGTTAAATATTTCAAGATAATAAAAAAAAAAAGTTAATTCCATTCACAAAAATTACACACAGGTACACCTACAGGGCAGTGTACCCGGCGTTAGGTCTCGAAGTAATCTCCATCACCATTCAGCACACTATGCCAACGTTCCCATGGTTGTGCAATGCCCAAGTCAATGGGTCATGGACATAAAGCAGTCTGTGAATGCATTATGTAATTCTGCCTCACTGATGAAGGATTTCCCACAGAGGTATTTTGCTGGGAAAAGAACAAATGGTAATTCGTGGGTGCATTAAGTCGAACGAGCACAAAATTTTCCAGCCAAGTCACTGAATGATGCCACGTCTTTCCACGTGTAGTCTCGCGTTTTCGTGAAGGTACAGGACTAATCACGTTGACTGTTTCTGCCGCAATTCACGTTGCATTCGTTGCAACTGCTGAGAATACTAGTCTTCAGTTATGTTGCATCTCGTAGTAGTAGCTCGTAATCCGCCATTTGATGACTAGTTCACCAGATACAAAGCATGATCTTGCATGTGTGCAATGATGGGGTTAAGGTCTGAGGCATAGGGCAACCGAATAGCAAACAATGTCTAGTACTCTTTGAGGGTCATACTGGACTTTTCATCGCTCGTGAGCACTCGAGAAGATGTGAGTGTGCTGAAGAGCGGAGACAGCTGCGAAAACCGGCTGTCACTCGTTCTGCTTTGTTGGCTGCCGACAATGTGTGAGGTGTCCACTTTTTCAGCTTGTCTACCTTTCCTGTGCGGTGCAGGTAAATCTGACTGCTTCCTTAGAAACCTGGAAGCATTCAGCAAGTTTACTACACGTTTGACTGCTATGAACTTTGCCATCCAACACCTGTGGTCCTGGTTCATTACAAAAGCTCAGGTCGGAAGACCTGAATTTCTGGAACTAATGGTAGGCAGTGCGTTCATTCAGCGTATTCTTCCCAAATGCCTGACATATTAGATGAGGTGCAGCTGCTGAAGGCCTATTTTAAAGTCATACAGGAAACAACTATGACCGAGTGCTCGATATCTGCATTTCTCTTCAAAACAGAATGAACTGTGATGGCTGTGTGTGCGCAGTGTACCTGTATTAGTGCAGGCCATTGTCTTCATAACATTTCATCCCTTTTCCTACGCATGAATAACTTCATTTCTACTCTGTGAGCGCTTCATCAAAGGTGGTGTCAGAAACGGAAAAATACTTGTTTTCGGCTTAACTTATTAAAGTTAGTCATAAGACATACTGTATGAAAGTTAATTAAAGGAAAAAAAGAAAACTGGCATGACAAAATGTTTAGCATGAAAATGGGGATCCTTTTAAACAAAAAATAAATTTTTAGTAAGAAACAAGATCAGAAATCTCAAATAAAGGCTATTGCTACTGGCAGACATCTGTCATCTCGTATTGTTGACCAAGGATTTAAATCATTTTTCAACTTGTCACAAGGTAAACGTGTTCCATTTTCACTAATATTGAGTATTCTGCGGTTAAGATGTTTCGAGAAGCTTTTCCAGCTGGCGAATAAGACTTTAAGGAGTCTTTTAGGAAACATTCCTTATTTTCGTTAATTTACCTGACTTATAAACACTATTTACAATTAACTCTTAGAGAATCTTTAAATTAATCTTGTATTTAGCGTACACATATTAAAACACTCAATCGATTTCGAGGGCAGCTAAAGGTCCCTCCTCATCAGAAGAACGAAATTACTAGAAAGGGGAAAACATAGTAATTTCGTTCTCCTGATGAGGAGGGACCTCTAGCTGCCCTTGAAATCTATTGAGTGTTTAATATGTGTACGCCAAATACAAGGTTGTTATTGCGATTTTGATTGTCACATTGGCGTGTTTCTTTTCTATTCTAATCTTTAAGATGTTTCAAGTGTTTAACTTTTAGAATGGCGTTGAGTATTCTTTATTTCTTTTCAATTATAGAGTCTTACTCTCTTGTTCCTGGCGAGTTTTCGCACAGGCGTAAAGAAAACGACTGACTCAAGAAGAAGGGTGAAAAATAACCCTTTAATTAATTCAAAACAGTTAACAGAAAGGGCACGGTCTTTGTGTGTTACAAAGGCACTGTCCAACTTCCGGTGAAAACTAAAACGTAAAATACAATTTAAGTCAAACCTAAAATAAATAGTACAAGATAGCGCCTAAGTTACGCCTACCAGGTGGACACACAAAACCCTAATCCGGCGTGATGATTAATCCGATATAGCCAAGAGGCTTAGTAGCGTAACAGCGAAACAACAACGAAACGTGCGCTTGGCTAGCGAAATACGCTCTGAATAATCTCAGAGATTCACCCGTTTAAATAAGCACTTCACTTAACTTTAAATTTACATGGCGAGAGAATGTGAGGGGAAGTTGAGAAATTTAGAAAAGGTATCAACTTAAAATAAATTTGTTATTCAAAATAAGGAAAACCCTACACAATGTACAACCCTTTGGCTTGTGTAATAATGTTCCTGAGATATTGTTTTCAATTATGCTTGGTATCTAATTATTCTACTAGCATCTAAAGAAGAACGTAAATCAGAAACTTCAAAATGAATTCAGATAGCTTTACATACATTAATTTAATTTTTGTTCTTAATTTTGTTCCTTTTTTCTAAACAAATTCTTAAATTAGTTTTAAAATTTGGTATTGTTATTTGCATTTGCATATATTTACCATAATCAGTCAAACCATTGTCTTTTATATTTAGGTTTCTATACACTGACGAAATATATTTCGATAATAATACTTTAGTTATGGAAACTTTTCTAGCAGCTAAAGAATTCGAAATCCAGCCCCTAATTGACAGGTGTGTATCAAATTTAGAAGAAATAGAGTTATCTAAGTTCGTTGTTTGCTCCATACTTCAAATAGCCACCCAACGGAAAATGGATGCATTGAAAGACCGCTGTTTGAGCTTCATTCAAGAAAATACTGGTGATATCATCAGGTAAATTTTTACATTATGAGTCTCAATTCTTTAAATGAATATCCTGAATTTATATTTGGTTATAAATTTAAAAGAGAAGTATAGAGGGAATTAGGTTTCTTTTTATGTTTTTTAAGAGAAGCTGTTTTAACTCATCTTTATGATACACTATCCGATATTGAAAATGCAACACCAAGAAGGAGTGGCCCGAAAATTATGCAAATTTCAGGGTAGACGCACATGACCAAGTCATGCGAATGATGTGAAATAAAGGAACGCGCACGTTGTAGAAGACGTATGGCAAGGAACCTGCAGAATAGTCAGTTTTCGGGCTGTTATTTCTACTAGGGAAATCATAGTAGAAAATTTGTTCTTGTCTCAGAGGACGCGTGTAATAGCAGAGAATGCCAGTCCGTCATCAACGGGGGCAGTTCCATGAGTTTATGAGGGGCATGATGATCGGACTGAGAAGGGCAAGCTGGTCCATACGGCAAATCTCAAGTGACACACATCTGGATGTGTCCACAGTGCAACGGTTGTGGCGAAGATATTTGGAACAAGGAAATATGACAAGTTTGAGGGGTGCCGGTGCAGCCAGAGTGATGTCAGCACGCGTGGATCGCGCATCCACCGACAAGCGGTGGCGAAGCCGCAAGCCACTTCTACTTCCATTCTGCAGCATATTCAAGACACCCTGGATATTCCCATATCAACCGGAACCATTTGTTGTCTATTGGTTGCTCGTGGCCTGCACTCATGGCGTCCGTTACATAAACGCCAATGTCTAGAATGGTGCCGGGATCGAGTGATGTAGACGATGGAATGGCACAGGGTCGTGTTCTAATAATTGTCACCTTTCTATTTCTCCAATGATAGTCGCCACGTACGAGTGTCACATTGATGTGGAGACAGGTCCAATCCAGCAGAAATTGTCGCGAAAACTCCCACGGCGCGACAACGCGGCATCATGGTTTAGGGTGCCATAGCATACGATTCCAGGCCACCTCTAGTTCTTATTCGGGACACTACGATGGCCCAACGATACGTAGATGATGTGCTGTGGCCGGTGAAACTCCTACCTTCAGAAAGTGCCCAATACCCTTTATCAGTAGGATAACGTTCGACCACGCTCTGCTCTCATTTGCCAACATGCTCTGCAAGTTGTACAGATGCTTTCCTGACCACCATGTTCTCCTGATCTCTCACCAATCGAAAACATTTGGGATATGATTTGACGCCATTTTTTAACGCGTTCAGAAGACTAACTATGGCAATTGGTTGACAAGAAATGGAGAGCCAGTCCTCAGGACACATCCGTAGTCTCATTCACCCTGTAACTAGACGTGTTGCTTCGTGTAGCGGCATCCTAGGTGGTCTTACAATCTACTTAGCCCGTCTTCCCCCGTAAATAAATAAATCTACTGAGACCACGGCTGCCTGCCTGTCTCATTGATAAATGCCTCTTTGACGTATTTATCAATGCTGCAATAGGAAGAAATTCAAGTTGCGTATAAAATGATATTTTCTTGTCAAGATTCATATCTACTGAAAGCCATTTGAAAGAGCTCTCTGTTGATACTAGTTTTATTTGGAATCAACATACCACCTGTAAAATATCGTCATTTATCTATAAACTTTGAGAAATCATCCGTTAAATAATTCTCAATACGTTGCAATAATGATAACCAGACAGCTATGTGGTTTTATAGCTATACTATGAGCTGCATGTAAAGATTTACTATGAATATCTCTACTTAATTTAAAGAGGATAATTTGCTCTACCCAAATAGAGGATTATCATAAAGTTTCATTGTAGGATTCTTATAAATTGAAAAGTTATTTAACAAATTTTAAAAAATCTTCAAAATAATTTCACAGCCATTTCAATAACATTCTTTCAATTGAAATGTAGTGATGCCGTCAATACCTCCATTTTCCCTTTTTAAATTATTGCGAAATTCATGTTATTTATTATGAAATAATTTATATAATCTAATAAAGAAAAACGTTTTCTTTCTTATGACGTTAAGTTATATCTAATTTCATTAGTTAATTCAAAAGTTATTAATGCTTTCTTTGAGTTTTTAATATTATTTTTCAAATTGAAATTTACGGAAATCAATTGTTACTGACGACTTTTTACTAAACTTAAATACCAGCTTAAAAATAAATAAACTTTGGATATTTTAACAACATGAAATGTTTAATTTTATTTCGATTTATTTATTTTATTTAAATTAATTAATATTTTAAAACAAACAGCAATAAATAACTAAACTTATATCTATGTATAGTGTAAACATTATTTCTTTCATCTTACCTTATTTACTTTTACATCAATGGTATTAATTACTTTATAATGAATTAGCATTTGCAAAATATTTTAATACTATTTATAAAGCAATAAATTCCTTCTTATTTTACTTTATTTCATAATATTTACCTCCATATAAATGATCAAACAATATTTTTCTAATTACAAGTTTTATATAATTACTCTGTTAGTACTATTTACATCGAGTAGCAAGTAACAAAATCCTTAAGCTTTTTCAATAGTCTTTAAATTATGTCACAAAACAATGTCTCAAGATCTTCAAGCAAATCCTCTTTAAATAACTCCGATTCAACAAATTATTCCATCCAACAATTATCCAAATTACAACTCCAGGTGACGGATTTCAACTACTCTGGTCATTAGCCATGTCTTCAATGTCCACTTATCAGAATGATACGTTTTCCCTCTCAGAATGAATGTAATGAAAGAACAATAAAAATACAAGCTGCCTGTAATAAATGCATCGAACTATTAAAAAGTGAAAATAAACGCAAAAGGTATCTCCCAGAGGCTGTATTCAACAAAATCAAAACAATACTAGACTTTCTAAAAGACAGTTCCTTAGGTATCTACACAACTGAAAAACAGGGATCAACTCAACTAAATCTTATTGACGCAGCAATTTGTTCAAGCCAAATAAATATAAAGGATGCATCCGCTTCTGCAATCAACAATCCACCAACGAAAAGTTATGAATTCATTATATTATTTATATTTATCACAAAATAATCAAGCCTTTATATCTCATAAGATAATCAAGAATTTAGCAACTACTCAACCAATTAAAAAAGGAAATTTCTAAATCCTTTTATAGGTAACAATTATGCTCCAAGCGCAAATAAAGAAGTTACTCGATCATTTCATGTTATCCTTACACATAAAGGAGGAGTCTATCAACGAACACATCGCAACATGGAATCACCTGCTCATGATCTAAATTCTTCAATAGATCATATTCACCATCCAAACCAGTCAACAAACAATAAGCGTTACCATGAAAGCTGCCTTATCGCACAAACAGTTTCTAACAAATGCCGATTAACTACGATAATATGTCTAATATATCAATTCACTGCAATCATGACCACAGTTCGACAAACAAATCCTATGCTCATGCTTTGAAAACTATGAATATTCCAAAACGTAAACGTTATTAAGGTTGGTAATGAAATTTTAATAATATACCTTAAAGAAAATATGATTAACCAGCAACTCCAAGAGAAATTAGAAAAATATAACCCAATTAAAAACATTGGAGTAAAAAAAATCAACAAAGTAACACATATTAAAAGAAGACGAATAGTAGTCTCCTGTTCCAAAGAAGACATTCATAAAATCAACTCAGCCTTAGAAAATAATAATAAAATCAACCATTTAGTTACGTTAAAAATTCCTACCAAAAGAACACCAAAATGTACCATAAATAATTCACCCAGAAATACTACAGAAGAAGAAATAGTCAAATTAATTACTACAAACTTTCAAATCGAAAGTACAGACATCAAACTTTCCTTTATATTGAACGAGGAAATAAATCAAGCCATCAAATGGATAATAGGATGCGCTCCAAAGGCATTCCAAACTCTAATGAACCAAGGCACCTTTCACAGTGGAGGGAGAAGCCACAAAATAACAAGAATTTTTCGGAGCTAAACGTTGTTACGTATGCCAAGACTTTGAACATCACTCCATAAACTACAGATTCAGTAACTACTGTGCTTTCTGCGGAGTAGACCATAATGTAAATGAAAGTAATGCAAATAACCCAATGTGCATTAATCGCAAACTGTTAAATGATGAAAATAATACTAATTTCAAAATCTGTCATCCAGCATATGCACCCAACTGCCCCACGCACCAAAGAGAAATACTGAAAATCAAAGCCAGAACTGCATACAGCGATATAATCTAACTATAACCGTTCCACCTCCTTTCAATAAATTTAATTCCTTCATAGTTACTCATCAGTCTAGTTTACTACAGCTTGTAAGATGTCTACTATCCTAATTGAAAATTCCATCTTACCTTGTCTTAAACTTCAACAAATAAACTTACAAACAGCCATCTACAAGAAAATGATTTTAACCACCAAAAACAATAGCTGGAGAAGCCTACTGCACTAAGAACAAAGATACCCATGGCACCATTTGTAAAATATGTATGAATAAAGTTTTTAAAATAACGAAAGTTAGGATTCCCTCAAGCAGCAGCCATTCTCTCCCTCTCATTCATGATGCAACTTCCAAAGCAATTTAAAAAATAATGAACAATGTCTTTCTACAAGATTCTCCTAAGGAAGATACTCCCAAACAATCCTCACTGCAAACCAAGAATGTAGCTTAAGATACACCTAAAGATATGCCTTTTACCTCAAAAGAAATCTCCAACATTAGTAAAAAACTACTAAAAAATAAATCTTCTGGACCAGATGAAATTACAAATCAAATTATAAGAATTATTCACTCTTCAGACCAATATGTATTCTTAGACATGTGCAGTAAATGTTTTCAATTAACAACTTTTCCAACCACTTTTAAAACATACCAAGTCAGCTTTTTCACCAAGCCTGACAAAGGCCCCAACGATGCAAACTCCTACAGACCCATTAACCTCCCACATGAAATCAGAAAACTTCTCGAAAGAGTAATAGCTGTTAAGGAATATTCTTTGATATCGCCAAGAGATG